CGTCGAGCGTGGGTCCAAGGCGTGGATCCGGCGTGAGCTCCTCTCCGGTGGCTTCCTCCGGCTCCATGGCCGGTCGCCGGCGCGAGCTCCTCTCCGGTGGCTTCCTCCGGCGGCGCTTCGTCCCCTGCTCCATGGTCGGTCACCGGCGCGAGCTCCTCTCTAGTGAGCGCGCAAGCCATCGTCGCCGGCGCGAGCTCCTTCCCCGGCGGGCGCGCATGCCATCCTCGGCGGCGCGCAGAGCCTCTGCCCCATCCCCGACAGCCGGTGATTCAAGAGGAAGAAGAAGAGTTGTGTGGTGTGGGATCCGGTGGCGTCCCCGACGTGGCCCCTTCACACGGAGGCGAGCGACACCCTGCCCTGGCACGGGCGCTTCCCCTGCAGCAGCGAGCTCCGGCCGCCCTGCCCTGTTGCGTGCTTTGGAGCCGCTCGACGCAACGGCGGCCGGCGTGGGTCCAAGGCGTGGATCCGGCAACGCTGCGGGGAGTGGTGGTGATGGCGGCGGCGGGACTTGTTTTTTTTCCCGAAAAATGTTTGCCGAGTGTTTTTTTTGGACTCGGCATAGTCTTTTCCGAGTGCCCAACGTTTGACACTTGGCAAACAGCTCTTTGCCGATAAAACCTTTGCCGAGTGTGGTTTGCCGAGTGTAACACTCGGCAAACGCTTTGCCGAGTGTTTTTGGGGCTGTGCCGAGTGCCAGGGCACTCGGCAAAGCTCGTGTATCCCGTAGTGATTGAATAACTATGTTATAATATATACCTATACAGTGAGTAATAATTATTAGAGCTGCACATTATTAGAGATTGTATATATCATTGTACAAAACAGAAAGTATTTGTAACTGAAATATATATACTATGATAATCTTGTATTCAATTCTCTTGGTATGTCCTTTCATTCATTCCCTAACTCCTCTCCAAGATCTTACTCGGAACAAGGACAATGTTCCGATTAAAATTTACATTGAATATGAAAATGGTACAACTTCTCATCCCACGTGTCATTAAGATGTCACAAATCATCAATTTCCACTGTCGAGGGAGTCATATCTGCATTATTCCAATGATCTAGGAGAACTTCAAAAGAAAATAATGATGACTGCTAGCTAAGATATCCTCACTTGTATTTGTGATTTTCAGTGGAAAGGATAGTTTTAAACAAATGGTAAAGGTTGAAGTCATAAAAGCCGCATTAGATGTTTATAGAATTTTGTTGATCAGTGGCATACTCTCTTATTGTTGGATTGTGCCGAAAATTAACGCATTGGGGGACAGAGTAGATGCAGTGGAAGATAACATTAATAAAGTCATAAAGCAAGAATTCGAGAGGATACATATTGAAGCGGAGAGGGGTAAAGCCAAAATTTCTGAAGCCTAAAGCATGCCAAGCTCAGGTATTTACTTTGCAAGCCCTCTTTCATTCTTACTGTCTCTTAAGCTGTTGCACGCATTAAGATCAAACTTCGTGATATTTTACGAATTATTAGCCTCACTAGGCGCAGCTGGTTTTATATACAGATGGTACTAGCGGATTTGTATTTGAAACTACCATGCATTCAAGCGAACATGGTTTTGTGAATTTTTCTTTTTGCGATCGTACATGTTGAAATCAGCAGTGTGTAATAGATTGAGAGAAACTACCAATGAACATAAATGAATGCAGAATATATGGTAAGGAAAATGCTGACTGCATCAGTATAATGTTTAGTTTGGTTAGAAGCAAAGTGATAGTATGCATTAATAGAATATGTTTTGTTGCACTTTAATAGCACAATTGCTAATATGTACTGATTATGCGCAGGAGCCAGGAGGACATGATAAGGAACCTGGTGGACAACAAGCTTCAGATGATTTAGATGAGGCCTAGATTAGTTCGTTACTAAGACCGCATAAAAATAGTTGAGCGGAGAGGCTTTAATTGTGCACTTTTGCCCTTTTTCTTTCATATATATGATTAAACAATGTCTGTTTTCTCAGTTAGGGAATTAATTGTAATTTGTAACTTTGTTATGCTATCTGATAATGATCCGAGTTTAGGGTGAAAGATAATGTTAGTTTTTAACGTATTGGTGCATGTCTCCTAAAAATTGCCATCTTGGTTTTACTATACCTCCGTCCCAAGAAAAAGTTGCATAGCAAGTTTTGAAGTATTTGCTACGTGATGATGACAGTTTCTTTGGACGAACTTCTGTTGGCATTGTTCCAAATCTTCAGCCCATCGTGAGGATACAATTTGCCCATCGTAGGGATATAATTTGATTGTATTATGAGTTTCTGAACCAGTGATTGATCACCTTACTAGACTAGCAGGCTCACGTTCTCTCTGTGTTTAGTTGCCAGGCCAGTTGGCCTCTGCATGTGTTTCCTCCTGATAGCGAAGTACTGAAAAGATTCATTCATGTAATTTGAAAATCATCTATATGTATCTTTGGGTTCCAGAAGTACTGAAAAGATTCATTCAGGTAATTTTTTTTTTGCGACTGATTCATTCATGTAATTTGAAAACCATCTATCTTTGGGTTCCAGGGCCAATGACCAAAGGGCGTGGCTAGCGCTCAAACGTCCAGCGCGCGTCTGGACGCCCGCGCAGCCCGCCCCATCCACCTTCGCCCCGTCCCCATCTGCCTTCACCGCGCCCACGAGTGCGCTCCGCCCTGTCTCTGCGCCCGCAGGTCCTTCCCTTGACCCCCTCCTCTCTCTCCGACTCTCCGCGTGTGCGACACACGGGAGCCGGGATGAGCGGCTGAGGATGAGCACGCCCCCACCTGCAGTAACCCCTACCGTCGGCCCCAACGCCCCCTTCCGTTGCCCCCCCCCCCCACCCCGGCGCACCGCGTGCCCCGTCCGCCACCCCCGGCCGAACAACAAAAAAACACTTGCAACATAAGACTCAAAACAGATGAAACATTTGGAAACATGCTCTTGCAACATGTGTATGAAACACACGAAACATCCAAAATAAAACACTTGCAACATGAAACCACTTGCTGCAACATAAGACTGGAACAACTAACACATTTGGAACATACTGTTGCAACAAATGCAACATCCAAATAAAAAACGATTGCAACATACATCTAGAAATAGATGAAACATTTTGAACAAACTCTTGCAACATGCCTTTGAAACACTTGCAACATGTGCAACATCCTTTGATCTACTTTTGCAACATCAAGATCAAACAATTGCCATAAACATTGGAAACGCCTGAAACACTTAAAACATACATATGCAACATAGGGGAGGGGAAGGCCAGGCCGGTCAATTCTGGCAGTCGGGGTTGGAGCCGCCAGCGAGCCACGGCGCGTGAGCACCACCGGACCGCCCGCGCTCGTGGGTGCCCTTGACTCGGTCGAAGAAGACCTGAGCGCCACAACACATGTGCCCCAGCGCCCATGGTGGGGTCAGCGGCATGCACGACGACGATGGGACACGAACGGACGGACAGCGAGGGAGCGAGCGGCACAAGCGTCTGGGACGAGCGCGCGGCGCGGCCAGGGCGATGGGGCCCGGCACGCGGCACAATGAACGGACACGCTGCTTCGGCGCCAGGCGGATAAGCACGAAGGAGTGGGGGGCCAGGCCGATAAGCACGAGAGAGTGGGGATTTTGTTTTTTGTTTGGGGCTTGCTCTTGGGGAGCCGCGATCGGACAAGAGTCACAGACGGACACCCAAGTTGGTTCATTATCGATGAGCAAATCTCTTGTCCTGTGTCGAATGATGAAAAAACATACCAGTTCTAGTACTAGGTTCCCATTGGGTGAGCAATTACAATTAGTCACAACACTACGAGTTTTTCAGGAGATGCTCAAACAGGAGTGAAAACGTCTAATCAATTACAGGCTCCTTAGCCACCAGGCACAGATTCAGCATTTGCCATTTAGCTACATTCAGTTTCAAGGGTGCCACGAGGCACAGATTCAGCATTTGCCATTTGCCATTTAGCTACATTCAATTTCAAGGGTGCCACCAGGCACGGATTCAGAATTTGCCATTGAGCTACATTCAGTTTCAACAAGTAAACCAAATTCAGAAAGCTGAAACCAGCCAATTGCTTTAGGTTCAACCCTCCGTCGCACATACAAATACCCACTGAATCTCAGAAACAATCGCATGGAGAGAATAAATTCCTTACAAGAGTAGGTTACCAATCGATCAACCTCTTAACTGACACATTGTTGATATGATATACGAATCAGCTTACACCTTTCAACGGTTGAGTAAAGATGGGACAGAATGATGAAATACACTAGCAAAATTTCTGCAGATAGCATCTTCCTAATTTCCAACCCTCACTGGTACATGGCCACACGCAGACTACCAAACAGTCTCAGTCAAGACTACAGCAAAGTGCGCCCTTGTATACAGAAAACACAAGCTTAAAAGGAATCATCAGCTCCTAGGTGCATCAAGCCTTCTTTGTAAACTTCAAACTCATCACACGACCAGCGGCACACAAGGTATAGACGGAATGTTGCCATCTGTATTCCAAGCAACCGCTGCAAGAAAGAGAAATCAAAGGGGGCTCAATGCAATGAAATAGAAAAAGCATAAAATGGAGCAGGTTTTGGTTTCAATGCAAAATGGCCACATGCCTTCCAAAAGTTGCAATAGAGATGATACTGGACTACTGGAACACCTTATGCACAGCAGATTTCAGTAATGAGCGAATAGTTGTCAATCGATATGTTTTGCAAATTGCAACAGACATAATTTAATGGGGTGAGAATGTAATTCTGGGCAAATTAAAATATGCTTCCTTTAGATTGATCAAAGTTACATAGTGAATTATGACATATATTCTAAATCAAACATATGACAACCATCACATAGTAATTCATACCAGAGTCTGTGCTGCTTCTGGTGAAAGGGGCTTTCCTTCCTCACAAACTACATGGTCTGCAACCAACTCTACAACACCTGCACCAACAATGGTAGACTTTTTAATAACACTTTTCATGGCAGATTTCAAGCATTTGTGTAACGCAGGGGAGACTACAAACCTTTGTTCAAGCGAACTGGAAGTCCTTGCTTCCGTAGAAAGGGTTCCATCTCATGTGTGAACTGTTCCAGAGGACCTTCCTTAAGCTCCACCTGAGGCATTGTAAATGTTATTAAAAAATGGTGTAAATTTGGTGAAACACATTATACAAGAAACTAAAAACGGCATTAACATCAAGAATAATAACACCTGAAGCAGGCTAAGGAGCGATTGTCAAAGTACTGTTACCCTGGTGTGAGTGATACTATCAGTATATATTGGTAATACATTAACACAAGAGCCTAAACTTGACATTGGTCACCTGAACATGGTCTTCCTAGTCTATTTGAAGAAACCAGGGATATAAATGAAAAGCAAAACTAGAATACCGTCTCTGTCGCGGTACTTCCTGTCCTTGCAAAATCATGCTCCTCAAATTCTCGAAACATCCTACCAGTATGATATATGATGACCATGTCAATCTTTATGTAAGCTATAAAACAAGAAATGTAAGTAATGGTGATGGCATACGGAAACTACCTCTCAACATCATCCCTTGGAAGATTGGTAAAGAACAGACCAGAGTCACCTTGAAGGAACTAAACACAGCAAAGTTACTTTCATCAAAACCTCATATCAGTGATCTAGAAATTGGAATACAACTGAATTCTGAAAAGGAAGAGCTCACCTTGGAAAGTTTGTGGAGGCCTGTTTTAGCTTCATCAGCAGGTGAACGCCCCAACACTATCTGCATAACCTTCTTTCCAGCAAGAAATATCCTGGAACAGAAAATGCAGCAGCTATCAAACATGTGAGAGCTAAACCTTATGAGCATTTTAAAGGGTTCAGCTAGCATTGCGCCTTTGTATTCGGAGCAATGTGTTCCAGGGGTGCACTATGTAGCCCATATAACAAAGTTTGTTGATCCGTGTTAGGTTAGGTTGAATATTGCTTGGAAGGGTAAAATGGATGACAAAAGCAGAGCCTCTGCACTGCAGCATTCAGAGAGACAGAAAGACACTGCAATTTGCAACATCCACTGCAGCATTCGGAAAAACACTACAATTTGCAACAGACATATGGGCGCTGTACCTGCTAGAAGATTTGAGCTGCTCCCTGAGGTCCTTGAGCTTCTGGTTCCTCATGTTATCGTAGGTGAAAACATAGGCGCTGCTGTATGTCGATAGCATCTTTGATCTCGGAGACTACTTTGCCCTTGCGCTCTAAACCTGGCTTCTTCTTGGTCTTTGATAAGGTCACTGCGCCCACCAGCATAGAAATCAATTGATTAGCACAATTGACACCAATTTCTTGCGCTCTTCAAAAAACTAAGGGGTCGTGGCAAAAACGCACACACAAAATGGGAAGAGAAAAGAATAAACTTTAATGATGTGGAATATGAAAGAAAGAATTGGTGAGGCAAACAAGCAACTGCTGGAAGGAAATCGATCGATATGAACTAATCCCCTCTACGCAGGCAACGAATCGAGGAAGAGAGATGCCAACCTGGGCGGTTGCGCTTAGATTTCGGCATCGCCTTTCCACTCCTGAGCTGCGGAGGCGGCGAAAGCGGCGGCGGCGCTGGGGACTCCTCTCCTCTAGGGTTTTAGGACCTGGATGGAGGCTTGCGTTCTTGTCTGGTGAGAGTCGTGAGACCGTGACAGCGAGAAGCCGAGAACGAGATGATGGAGCGGCGGCTCCCTCCTCCTCTTTTGCACTTAGGGCCTGTTTTGTTACTTCTCCTCCTCCTAAAATTTCTCTTACATCGAATGTTTGACACATGTATGAAGTATTAAATATAGACTAATTATGAAACTAATTGCACAACTTGCGACTAATTTGTGAGACGAATCTTTTAAGCCTAATTAGTTCATGATTTGACAACGTGGTGCTACAGTAAACATGTGCTAATGATAGATTAATTAGGCTTAAAAAATTCTTCTCGGAAATTAGCCTCCATTTATGTAATTGGTTTTGTAATTAATTTATATTTAATGCTCCTTATTAGCCTCTAAACATTTGATGTGACATAAATTTTATGAGCGATTAAAGAACCAAACACCCCCTTAAGTACGTGTTTGGTTGGAGGGCTGGGGTGGGTTGAACCTAGATTCAGAGATGTTTGGTTACAGAATGTTTGGGTTAGTTTCGACCCGCATAGGGAATATTCCCAGTAGATGCGGGTTCAGTTGGTTTTTCAAATCGAGCGGACCGGCTCGACCCACTTCGATGCCGACTCCGTTTCTTCACTTCTCTCTCCATTGGACGCGGGCGGGCCTGGCTGGGGCGGCAGCGGGCGGATACGGGGTGCGGGACGGTGCTGGCCACCGGGGCATGGCGACGCGGCGCAAGATGTGGAGGCCGGACGCATGCAGGCCTGGCTTGGGCGCGCGGCGAGCGGACGCGGGATGCGGGGCGAGACGGCGCTGGCGCGAGATGCGGAGCCGGACGCGCGCGGGCCTGGCTGGGGCGCGGCGAGCGGATGCGGGGAGGTGCAGGCCACCAGGACGGGCGGGCGCTAACTGCCGAGGCGGAGCGTTGGGGCCACGCGGTGCTCTGCGCCTCTAGCTGGGCAACGACGAGAGGTGGAAGATGGGTTGAAGCTAGCTGACAGCTGGGTCCCATGTAAAATAGCAAGCGACAGTGTTAAAGATGCCATCCATCCTAATCCACTCTATCCCTCAAACCAAACAAAAAATTGGATGACTCTAACCCTCCAACCAAACACAATGCAGGTTCAACCCAACCCTTAAAACTGGGATGATCCAACCCAACTCACATGGCCCCAAAACCAAGCACATGCTAACTGGGCTTGGCCTTTTTTTTACGCAAACTGGGCTTGGTCTTTGGCCCATCATTATTCCAAGCAAACCATCCACCCTTCCTACTGTAACCACTGAAACGACATGTACAAAAGCTTATCACACAAAAAACGGTATGCCCGTCAGCTTGTGCGCGTGCGTGTACGTCGGACAATGCTTGTGTTTAATTTTCTCCCATAACTAATCTTTTTTTTTCAAAATTAAGGGTCAGATCGATAGGCTGACTGAAACTAGTGACATGTCAGAACGAAATTATGGAATGGCAGGTGGAAATTTCTCGTTTGTTTTTTGGGCGTGGCTATTGGCCGAACGTTTGGACGGATGCGCGTGCCCATATGCCCGAGCACCCTGCCCTTGTCGTTGCGTCCGCGACTTCTTCCCAGCGATACCGCTCCCCTCTCTCCACATGGGCGAGACTCGGGAGCCGGGATGAGAACGAGCACGCCCCCGTCCATAGAACCCCAGGTGCCCCATGACTATCTGAACACACCTCTGAAACATGAAACATTTGCAACATGAAAACACTTGAATGTAACATACATTTGAAACAGATAAAACATTTGAAACATACAATTGAACACATATGTGTGAAACATATGTAACATCGAGATAAAATATTTGCAACTTGCAACATGAAAACGCTTATTGCAACATAAGACTAAAACATCTGAAATTATTGGAGCATACCCTTGCGACATGTGTGAAACATATGCAACATCCAAATAAAAAACGCTTGCAAACATACCTCTGAAAACACAGATAAAACATTTTGAATAAACACTTGCATCATGCCTCTGAAACACTTGCAACATATGCAACATCGACATGAAACAATTGCAACATACATATGAAACATCTGAAACATTTAAAACATAGGCTTGCAACATGCGTTTTTCACCCTTCTTCCGTACGACACAGCGTAGAGAGGGGAGACGGTGGATTCCGGTCAGCCGGCAGGCGAGGATGGTGGTGCGGCCTAGCAGTGGCCAGTTGCGCCTGTGCTTGGCCTGGGATAGGCCAGCGACAACCCCCTTTCCTGGCTGCCTGGCCTGGGTGCGACGGAGGATGAGGCATAGCATGGCGTCGCGGGGGGATGGCGGCGGCAGGGCTCCTGAGTGGGCCACGGCACGGGATGAAGGCATCGTGGGGGTTGGCGGCAGCAGCGATGCGGCAGATTGGGGCGAGTGGCCACGCTGTGCGGCGTGGAGTGGGGAGAGGAGCGCGGGATGGTGGCGGATGCAGCGCCGTCGCACTAGAGAAGGCCACAGCGAGCACCCTCGCTCTGCCTACGGCGAGGAGCCTCTCGCTGGAGAAGGGAGAAGCGCTGTCTTTTTTTGAGAAGCGGACTGACGAGTGACGTTGGATAAGGCTGAGTGCGGACGCGCGGCCGGACGCTCGCGTCGTTGTTTTTTCCTACCGTGAGACAGTTACTAGATGGAGGATGAAGATCCTAATTAACTCCTGTCTTGAGTAAAAGTGATTTTGGCCACTGTGCTGGGCACAAGATACTACACCGCCAGATTAATGAATTCAGTCACTGTGGATATACAACCTCAAACATAGCATTCAATTGAATTAAATTTACTTTCCATAAATAGCAAAGTGGCCTATTAGCTCAGTTGGTTAGAGCGTTGTGCTAATAACGTGTTGCAGGTTTTGACCTTCATGAGCCAAATATTATTTTTGTATTTTTATAGTTTTCATTTCTTTTCTAGAAATATTTTTTTTTTGGCTCAATTTCAATTCCTTTTTCTAGAAAAAGGCAACTTGGCCAATCACATAACTTTCTCCTTTATGAGAACTCTCACATTCTGGGTGATCGGCAACTTGGCCAATCACGTAACTTTCTTCCTAACGAGAACTCTGACATTCTTGGTGATCGCTTGAACTTATCAGCCTGGCTTATCAATTATGGTACAGTATTTTTTCAGCCTAGCTTTTTAGCGAAGCGAACATGATTTTGTTTTCGTTTACTCACACTGTACATCACAACAAACCACCAAAACCCCGTTCAGTTCCACTTCATTTTGCAAATTTTTTCAAGATTTCCCGTCACATCGAATCTTTGGACGCATGCATGAAGCATTAAATATAAATAAAAAATAAAACTAATTACACAGTTTAGACGAAATTCACGAGACGAATCTTTTAAGCCTAATTAGATTATGATTGGACACTAATTGCTAAATAACAACGAAAGTGTTACAGTACCATTTCACCAAAAAATTTGCAAACTAAACGAGCCCCAAGTGTTCAAGTTTCAGAACGGATCACAAACGCACTGCCAACTCTGCTGCAGTTTTCACTTCTTATGAGCTCCTGCACTGTTTTCCTAAATATAAACTTATTCCTGCTTTTCCTCTTTCTTTATCTTTCTTAATAATTCTCAAGTACAAGAATGTCTGCTTAGACAGGAAAATGGTTACAAGACAAGATGTACACTAATTCTCAGGACTGAAGAAGCACTCCTCTGTCCTCTCTCTGCACTTTCTGCTCAACTCTGCTCCTGGACTGTGGTTACTTGTTTCAGCTGCTGCTGCTGCCTGCAAACACCATTCCAACGGTTTCTGAAATACTTCTCCTGTCTTCGCTGTTCATGCAGCACAGGTTCCTGGCTCCAATGGAATAGAAAACCAGGGCGCCAACTAGCACAGATGCGACAGGAACCGTCAAATTGTCGTCAAGGCGTGTGCTGATCGGGAGCGACTCCACAACTGCTGCAACCAGGGATATGACACCAAAGGCAGCGACCATGGTCCAGCTCTTCTCAACAAACCCGAAAATGCTGAAGTAGCACATGAACCTGATTTCATATACACACATATCATAGCAGTTTCAGGTTCAGGTTATGTATGCAGAGTCTTCAGGTTTCACCAATAGTGTTGGATAGAAAAAGGTAACAGATAGTCTGTTTACTTACAGCACTGATGCGATGAAACCTACCAAGAACATGGCAATGCTTCCGGCATATGATTTTTCAGGGTTGTGAGGGAGCTTCACACGCCCGAATCGTCTCCCAAATATGTCAGCAACACCTGAAAGAAACAGTGAGTTGGATTCAGGTTTCACCTGAAGGTCCAAAGAGCAAACACTTCTGCTACTGCTACTAACTAACACACACAGATTGTAATAGCAGCAGGCACAGCTCCTACCATCCCCCGCACACAGATTGCAGATCACAGCGATCGAGATCGGAGATGTCCTCCAGAAAACTATTGTTGTAAGAGTTATAGCACAAGCATAATACAACGGGCCCTTGAGTAGTTCTCTGGAGTCAAGAGGCAAAAGCTTGGAATAGTTAGTTCATCAGAGTTTTTCAGAGCTCTGCCTTGGCACGTTTTTTGCTAAGAGGAGAAAGAAACAAATGCAAGAAGCCCATCAGTAAACCTAGGCTTAGCAAAAGCCAGCTACAAAGGTCAGGTATCCGGTATTAGTATTACACAATGCAATTGGCGATACGACAGCAGACAGCTACACGGTCCTGATTAACACAGCTACAAGCGCAACAAAGTATATGCATAATAACAAAACCACAGCCTCCTCTGCAATGCGTTCAAGAAGCATGGCAGCAACAAATATATGATCACTACAAAATATACCTGTGGTCTCCATGCCTGGTCATCGAGTTAACCACACCTTCATCTTTCACCACACCAAGTCCAATCACTGTCACCTTTATGATGCTGGCGACGATGATAAGCGGAGCAAGAAATGGAGCAAACACATCATCTGATCTGAAAACGAAATGAGCAAGGAATTATTTGCAGTAAGGTAGATAGACTAAGAAGAGGAACTTTGTTGGTGACCTAATTTTTACTTTACCTGAACAAAGGCCACATCAGGAAGTACACTAGTCCTACAGTTATGTGCACCAGTTTCCTGCAGAGTATCTAGAATGCACAGAAAAAAGACATACAGACACCAGTCGATAAATTCATCTTGGAAGGGAAAGAAAAGTCAATAATAAGCTTCGAAAGTGACAACTAATAAATTTTGACTAGTGATATGACTAGTGATGCTGCAGTACTACTAGAGTTTGGTGGTTGACTTTTGAGGGTGGGGTTCAGCCGTTCAGGGCAGCTTGGAACGAACTGAAACCACAACTTCAATCACTTCAACCACAAATTTTATAGGGACCACAGAAACTGTTTTCGTTTAAGGACAGGCAAAAGTGATTCTCCCAAAGAAAAAGCTCTGATTAATCGGCTTAATTAGTAGCACTAGTACTAAATTAGTAAGTGCGAGGAAGCAGCAGAAGCAGCAAGGAAGGAAGGAAGAAGGAAGCAGAGGGGTGACCTGGTCCAGCAGCGCGCGGTTGGCGACTTCTTCCCAGAAGCGGAGCACGACAGCCGCGGCCACTCCGGTGAGCACGGCGGCGCCGGCGTCCCGGAGCAGCGGGCTGTCCGTCCACATGATCCCAACTCGCGAGCGGAGGTACCCAGCTAACTGCCGCTGGTCCTGCTGCTAGACTGGATGGATATCAGCTACTGCTGGTCTGATCCGCGCCTGACACCTTCCTTCCTCTCCCTTTCATGTCCTGTTTTACACATGAAAAATATATTTTTTTCTGAAACATCACATGAACTGTGTTGACCAAGCTGTATATGTTTTATTATTACTACTAGTAGTTCACTGCCTGCTCCCTCAGCTGGACTGAGCCAGCCAGCAGCGCACACTGTTGTGAAAATCATTCTCAATAATACGGAGTACTCAATTGCTGTCTGAGAGCTGTACTCTCTGCTACTCTGTAAGTAATCTCTTTCTCTGTTTATTAAATATAAGGCATACATTTAGCTCTTCTCTTTGTTGCAGAAAAAAAAGGCAGCCAGATTTATGTTCTTTGAGGATTTCATTTTTTTCCCCTAGTTATTATCTTCTCATGGATTTTTCCTTAAGATTTACATTTTTCATGGGATATCCCCATGTGCTCATTATAAATGATTGGCCCATATAAAGATGACGTGGTTTCCTCTTTGCGTGGTACTCCTATGTCCAATCATTATATAATATTAACAGTACTATATTACTTTATTTGAGTGGGCAAAACATATATGCATATGAACTTCCTGCAGCGTGGAGCCAACGTGGACCCAGGGAAAAATTATTATTTTTATACAAAACAGGAAAAAGTTATTTTGAGTCCATGAACACCAGAAATTGACACTTGAAAGCCTGTACAAAATAACCAAAACTTGAAACTTAGTAAAACCGGAGGGTTGAAGTCCATCTTTCAAAGCACCGCTAAAAGTAAAGTGTACCATAATTTAAGTACTAGATCTCCTTTGGAATACAGGATTAATTTTTCATGTTTACTGTGTTTTTAATATGAAAATGAACTGATTCATATGGAATTTTTGTATGATTCCTATAGAATTTCTATGTTCCAAAGGGGTCTTACTGTGTTCCAAAGTCATGTTCAGGGCCCAACGGTTAAAATCACTTGTGTGCAGGTTCTACTGAAAATAGTTGTATACAAAGCATTTTCACATCGGATATATCATTTAGCTTCACTCCGTTTTCTTTCAAAGTTTTGGGCTAGGAGCCTAGATGGAGATGCATTGTTGGTAATATATTTTTATCTCTTTATTAAGAAGAAAAGGTTTGATTTACAACACGGGCCAAAATAGATTGTGCACGCACTCCAATCTATTGATTACAAGATATACATGATTTTAGGGGAAAAAACTCTAAGTTTGTTCTCTTTATTTTATGGGTTTCTTCTCTTTTGACAAAGGCCCAATCGTATATGAATAGATGTTAGGGAAAAATTATTTGATATTCCCTAACATTCGTCAAAGTCCGATTTGGCATGAGGTTCGAGGTTTTCTCGGGCTGGGTGAGATATCCTCTACCTTAAGCTAAAATAGCCCGGGGTGTCTACCTCGTAGCCCGAGTTTTTTTTAATTAAAAAATGGTTTTGTAACCTCCTCCAACTTTTGAAACCGTATGAATTTGCTCCCTAGATGGTCTTGAGAATGGTTTTAACTAATGTGGCGCCGTGTTAACCAAATTAGACTACACTGATAGTTGAAAGGGGTCAAATAGACTTTATCAAAACAATCATACAAATATTTTTATAATAAAATTATACAAATATTTTCTGGAAAATATATGTAATTAAAAATCCTAAAGTCTGATTTAATCTTAGAAAATTCATATTAAATTTAATTTAGCTTGAAAAAATACATATTTTTTTTTCTAAAATCATGCTCTATATTATGTTGTGATAGAATAAACTGGTGGTCAAAATACCTCTAAAGACTTCTTCCGGTCCTAATACACCTACCAAACATCAGTGGAGACTTCTTCAAGTCCTAATACACCTAGCAAACAAGAGCGGAGGTAGTATAGAAAACTAGAGACATGAACGGACAAAATTTAGTAACTCTAACTTGTCGAAATTAAAGGAGATAACTACAAGCTATGTCTCATTTTCTCTTATGTAGTAGCCCTTTATTTTGCAAAGCTTTCTCTTAGGTAACCAGTTAGGCATTTCGTTGAACTTGAAGCATCATTACTCTCATATAATTTCTCCTTGTAGATCCCTGGTGAAGTTGCACATTTAAAGAGAGAAAGGAGGGGAAGGGGCAAAAACAAGAAAGGATAAAATGAATTGAACCAAACACACCACTGCACAAAGTCAACTAATTAACGATGAAGATAACTTCACCTGGACATATGCATGACCAAGAACACCTTATAAAACGAGTCATACAATATATCTCAAGTCCATTGTTACAACAAATGACTATCATGCTTAATAAAGTTGGGGAAGCTGAAATATCCTTTTTATATATGTCCTTCTAATCATAAAAAAATGAAATATCATCCCTTCTATATATGTCCACTATTACAAATGATGATCATATCTAAATAATCTTAAGTGTATAAGAAATCTTGATAGCACTACTGTTTTTAAATAAGCAGTAATGCTATATGTACTTATCAAACATGCACACTGCTTAACTACATTCGACATAAATGGTAATTTGGCCAGCTTGGTTAAAAGACAACACCAACAAAAAATTCAGACATAGCCACTTAGAAACATATCCAAACTCAAAAGATCATATATGCATGTATATAGAATGAATAGCTCTACTTATATATGCAGATATTCATACTCATATGTGTCTTCCTCTACATAAATGGATAAGTACCACAAGATATCACCACACTGCACTAGCTAGATCATATGGTGAGATCAAGAGTACTTGTCCTTATTGGATGCGCTTTCCATTTTTCTAGGACTTTATGATGACCACCACTACTGGTCCTCACACAAGGAGGAGATGGGAACAAAGAAAGCGATAGCCGAGTATCATCAGTAGCACTCTCGGCTTCTTGATCCCCGGCATTCTCCTCTTCTTGATGTCTTCCCCAGGTACAACCTGGTATCTTTATTCTCTTGTCCGGCGTGGGCCGACATCCAATGAGTGTTCGAGATCAAGAGGATCATGGTGGATATTATCCTCATTGTGTGGCAGTCGTCGTTGATGAAGATTTATGAATTGATCATTTTGATATGATAAGCACCTTTGAAGAGTAGACGCTGGAGTGCTGCTAGTAGCTCTAGCAGTATACTGAGCAACGAGTTCTAAGCTGGAATGCGTCGGCTTCAGCTGTTGATGAGTAGTAGGGTTTTGATTCAAGAAGATGGTGACTGTGAAGCAAATATGATGGATCATGGTCTGTTCCAATGGGGACATGCACCAAACCTAGTCCACATAAACCAATTAATGGCATTATTAGTTCGAGAACCATGTGCTGCCTGCTTATTGTTGACACAAGAAAAAGGCGTAGAAATTTAATGGACGGATTTTATTTGCAAGTGTTCCATGCATTATCAGCCATGGATCCATCCAACTACCTTGCTGACAATATGGTACTAGCACCAGTCTGGCCGTGATGCAAGGAGAGATGGCCGAGGTTGTACGCTTGTCCCCCATCCTGCAACTGGTGAAGATCTCTCCATGAACCAGTACCTATCACTGTAAAAGAGTAGTATAATTTACCATGTCAAGGGGTAGCTATTATATACACATGATCGACAATTAACCGAGTCTACGAACTGAAACAACGAGATGTTGCTCAAGAATTGGTCTTACCCTGGCCTGAGTCGTCGATCTTCTTGCTCCTATACATCTGAAAATCATCAAAAGAAAATATGGAACATGAAGCAAGAAATTAAATTTAACCAAACTAGGATAAGAAGAAGAAGGTATATGAAGAGATCTGCATAGATATACTTGGAGATGGCTCTTGGACATGGCCTATGCTAAGCCCTTCAACGTTCATCAGTTGAAGAACGAGCTTTGGAGTTGCACCTATGTACACACACAACACACAAGCATGCATGAAATGAAATGAACTGAAATCACGAGAGATGTATATTTACTGAAACCAGCTAATATATACTCCAATCAGGAGGTGGTTGCTTACGGTCTTGGCCGCCGAGCCTGTCGACGGCGCGGAGGAAGCAGAGGTGGAGCTCCGGCGTCCAGCGGAGGTGGGGGTTCTTGACCGGACGTAGGGCCGCACCGAGGTCGGCGAGGCGCCGGCGGCCAGCTTCCTGCCGCTGTCCCCGCCGACTTCATCCAGCTCCACCGTGCTGCTATTGCTTGGCTCCCGTCATGACCGGCGCGAGGCACGTCGGCGCCACCAGCATCATCCTCCCCGTCGTCCCCGGCCTGGCCGCCGGACAGCAGCAGCTGATCTGCAGAGCTCTCATCGCAGCCTTTGCTACCTCCCGCCATGCTCGACCGGTGGACGATCACCAGCGCCGGCGGCCAACTCTATCAACAAGAAGCTACTAGCTAGCTCTAGTGTAGTAGATGTTGATGGGTGAGCTGAGGTCCAAGCCCAACTCGCTCTTCTGGCATCTTGTGTTGCTATTGCATCATGCTGGCCGTCACCGATCTAGCTAACACTCAAAATAGCTAGGTAGCAAGATAGAGAGGGCCAAAACAAAGGTGAGGTCATGGATCATTCTATCTATCCATCTATATATGTGTGTGTGCATATGCATATATAGGCATAGCGTTGTGTGAGATGACAAGTGATCTCATATATATGCACACCCCATATATATTTATAAATATACATATATATATGGCTTTTCTGAAAAGAAGTACTATAGTGTAGCATCCGTTTTTAAAGACAAAACCAGATACACAGCGTATGTGAGCTTAGGAAGTCAAATATCATATATAGCTACAAATAAAGCTAATATCAATAGACAATAGTTAATATATAACATTCTTAGTATAAATGACATAACCTTAGATAGCAAACAGCGGAAAGACAACTCTGATCTTCGGGTGAAGACTCTAATTTCACAGGGACAACTGACTGGTTGATCATAAGCCTAATTCCTCCAAACTCTAGCAATCTGGTACCCATCCGGAATTTTTATCCAAATATTTGAAAAGTAAAGCAAGTGTAAATACATGTCGTACTCAACAAATATAACATGGGGTTCATGAGGCTCAAAAGGCTGACTATGGTTTAACTGCAATTAGCTTTTAATGAGTCATCTTTTAGCAATTTGGTGGCAACAAGTTTATTCATAAGCCCATATAAACACATGATCAGGTAAATATGAATAATGAATATCATAAACAGTAATCATTAGTGAGCATCTTTGTCATCAGTATTATCAGTGTTCATCATCTATTCCGTAAATGTTCCAAGGCCACTCGTGACCGTGAGCACGACTGATATACCAGTTTTATACTCTGAAGAGGTTGTACACTTTCACTGTGAGTCGTGATTTACCCTTTCGTCCGAGATCGCGAGCCTCTTAACCCACTACCAAGGAAGGTCGGCAGAGTTTACTATGAAGCCTTTCAAAGGTTCGTCTAACAAGTTAGGGCCGCTAGATTCACTCGGCAAACATATATAGAAACCCCCCTGTCGAATGGCACAATTCCATCACGGCTATACACATAAGAGTAGAGGTTGTCCTATACCCGATTCGTCAAGCCATTCTTACGCCATAAAGATAACCACTAACAAGCTAGAGAATGTTCTCATACTGAGCTAAAGCCATAGCCATGTAGCCCTCATAGTTATACTGTAAGTCTCGGATGATCATTTATAGATAAGTCCTTAGGCAGAGGAATCTAGAGCACCATAAAAACAGCCTAATGCTCTAGCCCCTTGTTCCATATTACTAAAAACATCTTTTAGTGTTTATTGCATATTCCATTAGTCAAGTTACAAGATCATGATCTTTAATTGAGCACTAGCATCATACTACCCAATGCATAATCACCCATGGTGTCAAGGTACAAGATATCAAATATCTAGGATATCCTTATTGGCAACAAGGTAGACACATACAATATGAATTAAGTGATTAAAGGTGAATAGGTAACCAGGATGGTCCCATGCTATACTTGCCTTAAATTTAGATACTTCTTTTATTGATTCGTAGCCTCTAAAGAACTGCTTCTTGATCACCACGTAAAACACATCAAACTGGACAAGATCATTAAGCACCACACAAGCATCCGAACAAACATGCATAGCATTCAAACATAACTATATTAGAACAATACACCAATCAGTGAAAAAGAATTTAAAATCAAATCTACGTGTTGCTACGATCGCACAGACGAGAAAAGCACGCTAATCGGAGCTACGATGAAAAAGATACAACTACCGAAAGATTTGTTTTAAAAAGAAAATTATATGCTTCATTTATTTTAATTATAAAACATATATAAGATACTTCAGAAAAATATTTAAATTGAATTAAGTCAAATTATATTTGTATTAGAAAACCAACATAAGATTAATCTTATTTTATTTACAAAAGACTACGGTGAAAATCCATAATTGCTTTTAATTGAAAAACTAATATAGATTAGTCAAATTACTATTTTATTCAAAAGCTTCAAACATGTTAAACAATACCACTAATATGTAGATTACGTCGTTACGAATCTAACGCAACTTGAACGGACCAAATCGGAGTTAAAACGAAGAAGACCGAAGGTAGTGGCAATTTTGTAAATAGATGGAACTTGATTTTCAAATTAAAATAAATAAAATCTTATTTTTAGATTTCAGAGAATATGTATTTTTAAAATAATAAGATAAATGTTATGTTGCATAAACTATTTATCATAATTAGAGTACATGGGTAATTAGATGCAAATTTAGATATACTTTATTAGATCATATTTCTTAATGGCATACGTGGGTAGTTTGAATACGGAATCATGTGTTGCCTTATGTTATTGTACTTAATAGCAAGGATGGGTAATTATTTACAGAATAGATCCAATAGCTATTATTATCAATGGTAATTTGGTTATATCGAACTAATAGTCAAATGTTTTAGATTTTTATGAGAATTTCTAGGATCTATGTTTTGTTCTTATTATGTCTCATGACAATTAACATGTCTCATGAGGATTAACATGGAGGCTTAACATGGAGGCTTCTTTAGAGACCTCTAATTAGAATTATAGTATTTATCTTTATTGTATTTAGTTAAATATAATATTAAGATATACAAACTCTAGTTACATCCATTTCTGTGACTTCATAAATCATAGTTTTGCTTTTGACTTTCAATCAAGTTGTGCAATTTTTTCAAATGTTAGGTAGAAAATCTAGTGTTTTTCATCTTTTATTCAAAAATTATTTTTTGTTAAAAGGACTTTATTCCTAGTAGTATTGTTTTCCTCATATTAATTAAGTTAAAACTCAAAATGTGCCCTAGCGAACTTATATCTGTGTAGTATAGTTCTACATATCATAGAGTGATTGAAATTAAATTACCAATACTATTAATGCTTCATTTAAAGTATAGACTTATTTAAAGTAACAACTTATAAAATTGATTATCATGTACTATGAATATAATTTCAAGTGAATTGTCAGTGTTATGATGTTATGTTATTTTTTTATGGTTTGTCAATTAAAATTTTTTCAATGTTTTATAAGTTGATAAAATAAATATATATCCTAATGGATATATGTTTGCATAGTATAAATGGTGAAGTATAACATTATGGTTATTCAATTTCATGGTCGTATAAGTTTATAATTTAGAAATATGTATGTCTCATACTTTACGTATATCATTTTTTTGTAATAGCACATATTACTAATTACACATAGATTTGAGAAATATTTTTGTTTTTTTTATAATGGCTGAGGTAGATACATTATATTCTTGCATACCAACACATATGGGCAGGTGGACTATAAATTATTTAGGAAGTTATTTTTCATGATCTTTCATAATTACAAAGGTGGATAATTTTGCAAAATCATTATTATGTATTTTAAAATATCTTTCATAATGACAGATGTTAGTAATCTAAAATTAGTTGGTCAAAATTTTGAATTATCTCTTATAATAACATATATGGGTAATATACATTTTTTTGAAAGGCAGATGTGGGTAATCTTTTTTTATATGCCAAGAGATGTGGATAATCTAGATACAAAGTTAGAGGGTTATTTTAATTTACCTTTTATAATATCAATGGCGGATAATTTAGATGCAATGTCAGGGGTTATTTTTAATTATGTTTTATAATGATAAATGCGAGTAATTTATATACAAACTTAGGGGGGTATTTTGAATTATCTATCATAATGGCATAGGTGAGTAATTTATATGTAAAATTAGGGGGTTACTTTATATATTTTTCATAATGGCATATATGGGTAATTTTTTTAATAAAATTACAATAGATCTAACGGCTATTATTCATGAGGATGATTAGAGTCTACTAAATTAAAGGCTGGATGTTTCTGATTATTGTGAGAAATTTTTTTAAGATTTATCTTTTTTCTTAGCGCGTCTGGTGAGAATTAACGTGGCGTCTCCGTTGGAGCCTCTAATTAGTAATAGTAAGATGGGTTATTCGGTTGATAGATTCTACAACTGATATGGTCGGTAGATGCTTGTACTTATGGCTAATAAGCCAGACTGATGTTTAAGCAACATCAGGCTGCTGGTGCTGGCGTCAAGGTCCCTGCGGCTTTCAGAGCTACAGTCGCATCTCACGTGAAGCCTGGCTGCTGATCTTCTTGCAGCGGTGCGGTGTTGCCGCAGCAAAGCACGAAAGATTTATTACACGCACAACACAATGCTTTCTCGCTACCTCGCCCGCCCGCCGCACAAAGGCAGGCACTGCAGATGGAGAGAACCAAATAGCCAAATCACACGGAGGAGAGGAGAGGAGAGGAGAGGAGAAGTAAATGACAACGGTTTTGTTTGGATTTGGTTGGTTCACTCCGGCCTTGTTTAGTTTCCGGAGTTGGGAGTGGCCAAATAATTAATGCGTCACTTTAGCGTTTTGTTTGTATTTATAAATTATTGTCCAAACATTGATTAATTAGGCTCAAAAGATTCGACTCGTAAAGTACAACCAAACTGTGCAATTAGTTTTTTATTTCGTCTACATTTAGTACTACGTGCATATACCGCAAGTTTGATACGACGAGAAATCTTCTTTTTGTATAGTGCATTTTTTAGAAGTTTGGTAGGAACTAAACATGGCCTCCATTGATTCGCTAGGTGTGGGTGGTAGGGGTTGACTGATTGGGTACGGTGGAGGTGGAGGGAAGGAGGAGGAGCGGGAGGTGGGGGACGACGTGCCATTGCCCACTGGGCCCGTGCTGGCAGTGGCAGCCCCACACCTTCTTCAGGCGTCAGGCGAGGGCCAGGGGAGATCGCGGCGCTTTTCAAAATTGGAACTGACTGGCCATAGTTCCACTTCCGAGAGGTGCCAGCATTTCATTTGTATTTGTTAATTATTATCAAACATTAACTAATTAGATTTAAATGATTCATCTCACAAAGTACAAGTAAACTGTGTAATTAATTATTTTTTTACCTACATTTAATACTTCATGCATGTTGCCAAAGATTTAATATGATGGTGATGTGACGGAGAATCTTTGTACTTTTTGCATTTTGGAGAGGAACTAAACAAGGGCTGAAGTTAAAAAAAATGGAACTGACTGAGGTGGCTGCGTTTGAGGTGGTTTGAACTTCCAAAACTAAAAGAGGAGAGATGGAACTTTGAATCAGGCCTTGTTTAGTCCCTTGTTTAGTTCCCTCCAAAATTTAAAAAGTGCACAAGATTCTCTGTCACATTTCTATCACATCGAATCTTTGACATATGCATGGAGTATTAAATTTAGGTGAAAAAATAATTAATTACACAGTTTGCTAGTAATTTGCGAGACGAATCTTTTGAGTCTAATTAGTCAATGGTTGGACAATAATTGACAAATACAAACGAAAGTACTACAGTATTTCTGACGCCTCCAAAGTTTGGAACTCTACAGTATTTCTAACGCCTCCAAAGTTTAGAACTAAACAAGAGTTCCAAACTTTGGAAAATACTGTAGCATTTTCGTTTGTATTTATCAATTATTGTCTAACCATTGACTAATTAGGCTTAAAAGATTCGTCTCGCAAATTACAAGCAAACTGTGTAATTAGTTATTTTTTATCTACATTTAATACTTCATGCATGTGTCTAAAGATTCGATGTGACGGAGAATCTTGTACACTTTTTGATTTTGGAAGAGAACTAAACAAGGGCTCAGTTTTGGCAAAAGTTTCTTCCAGACCCACAAAGCTGAATTGCGTGCAAAAGAGAAATGGTGGTTATGCATCCCTACAACGTCCGACAAGTTGGGTTCCACGAGCTACCACCTCATATCATATAGTACCGACCAAATATGTAGTGAAAACCTTAAAAAAGTATATACATATATATGTATAGATATTTGTTTTAAAAAAACAAATTTCTTTTGTTTGAAAAAGGAATATGAAAGGTAGATACATCCAAACCTTAAAAACGCTTTTGTTTGATAGCATCCGATCAGACTGCCTTCATAAAAGATAGATACATCCTGGAGAGTGTAGTTGCTGTCCATGAGATTATTCATGAGGTACATAGGAATAAAGAAACCGGAGTGATGCTTAAGCTAGATTACGAAAAGGCTTATGACAGGGTGAATTGGGGTTTCCTTCAGGAAATGCTAAGATCTAGAGGATTCAGAGAGAGATGGATTAGCTATATTAATAAGGTAGTCAGAGGTGGTTCCATCTATATAAGGATTAATGATGAGAACAGTAGCTACTTTAAACCTGGGAAGGAGTTGAGATAGGGGGACCCTCTCTCCCCCTGTTATTTAACTTAGTGGCAGATGTCTTCTCAAGAATGCTCATGAAAGTAGCTAGGCAGGGCCTGATAACTGGGCTTCTGCCTGAAGTAGTTGATGGAAGCATTATTAGCCTCCAATATGTAGATGATACGCTGTTATTTTTGGAAAATAATCTAGAGAAGGCAGGCACTTTGAAGTGGCTGTTGACCATCTTTGAACATATGTCAGGCATGAAAATTAACTATGACAAAAGTGAGTTGTTGACCATTGGGTTAGATGTGGACTCTACAAATTGTTTTGCTAGAATTTTTTGTTGTAAAAAAAGTGATTTCCCCATTAAATATCTAGGAGTACCCCTGCATCACACCAAACTGAGAAAACAGGACCTTCATCCTGTGATTGATAAAATTATAAAAAGTATAGCAGGTTGGAGAGGTAGGCTGCTGTCTTATGCAGGCAGACTTACCCTTTTGAAAGCTTGCTTGGCAAGTATACCCATTTATCTTCTTTCAATCATTAAGTTCCCTAGGTGGGCCATAGATATGATAAACTCACATATGGGTCATTTCCTATGGAATAATACTGAAAATCACCATAAATATCATTTGGCTCATTGGTAGTTAGTGTCCCAGAAAAAAGAGGTTGGAGGCTTGGGTATTCCAGATCTAAGGAGCCTGAACCTTGCACTGTTAAGTGCCTGGATCTTTAGATATCAGCTAGCTTCAAATGCTATTTGGAAAGATATTTTGGACCATAAATATAGGTTAGATAAGCCTAACATGTTCACCTGCCCTGAGGCTGGGGTGTCTCCTTTCTGGAAAGGAGTTATGTGGGCAATGAAAGCTGCTCTTTTGGGGATCAAGTGGGTGGTAGGTGATGGCAGGAAGGTGCGGTTCTGGGAAGATCATTGGATTGGGAACTCTAGTTTGGCGATAGTTATTGGCCCTTGTATGTGATTTGTGATCAGCAAGGGAAATCCACTAGGGAGGTTTGGGATGGGGAAAATCTGATGTTAACGTTTAGGAGGAATGTATCTGAGAACACTATGAACTTATGGTTTGAATTGTGCAATGTGATTGAGGATATATCCCTCTCTGAATAGGAGGACCAAATTATGTGGAGCTATACATCTTCTGGTAAATATACAGTGCAGTCCTTGTATGCTGTGATTAACCACAGAGGAATTGTCCCTCAATTTGTGAGCTCCATTTGGAGAATCATGATTCCCCCAGGGTGCATTTTTTTTAATGGTTGCTGTCCAGAAATAGATTACTAACGCGAGATAACATGGCTAAGAGAAGGGATATGAGTGATCCCACATGTTTGTTTTGCTGTGAAGGTGAATCTGTCAATCATTTATTTTTTGAGTGCTGCATGAGCAGCAATGTTTGGAAAATTGTTTCTGGAATCCTAGGAAGAGAAGTGGGGAAAAGCTATGAAAACACAGCGGGTCTGTGGATTGCTAATAAACGGCATGCTGTCACTAACATTATATCTTCTGCGGTTCTATGGGCCATTTGGAATGTTTCGTGAACAGGATTGATGGTGTTACTGAAGATCGTTGGGTTTGTTGAGAAGATGGATGGCGTTGTTCAGGCAGGAGATTGGAGCGAAAGTGGGGGAGTTTGCAAGTCGTCTGGAGGTCCGAGCTTGCTCTCCTCCTCAGATCCTGTGGAGGCCAGAGGAGACGAGGGTGTCATCAGAGTTGGAACAATCGGCTGCTCAATTTTCAGTGCAAATAAGTGTAGCTTCGGGTCTTTCTGAGAGCCTGCTAAGTGTGGATGGGTTGCCAAGTTTGAGTAGTAGACGTGATGCAGTTTTCAGGTCTTAGACCTTTTGGCGGGCGCGCCTGGTACGCTTGAACTTTGAATGATGTTGATGTTGGATTTTGATAATACAAAAGCAGGGGACCCTCCCTTTTATCTAAAAAAAATAGAAAAGAAAAAGGAATTTGAAACGATGCACGCCAAAATGACTAGAGTTGTTTACACATGCTACTCCTACGTCCTACGAACCAACGGCGTTGACCAAACTAAACGATCTCGATTTGCCTTGCGCATGTGCAGCTAGCGGTGGCCGGTGGTGCCAGTGCGTCAAGTGGCCAAGTGTGAACGCCTCCGCGATAATGGTGGAGGCGGTGATTTGCTATGCTAAGTGTCGTTTTCGTGTGCATCTGCATCAGCATCTGGTCATCGCCTCGACAGCCTCGACAGTGTCTGCAGATCTCGCCGGCCGCCGCGATTTGCTAGACAAAAGTGAAAAGCGCATGAATGAATTTGCATTTGATGCATCGGAGGAGAAAGAACTTTTTTGTTGGAGCCTGATCTGATGAAGTGGTGATGATGATCTGAATATGATGCGCCGGCCACCGAAAAGGAGCTTACCACATTACCACACTCGGAATAGAAATAAGGAGTCCTTTTTGGGTTATTTGCCGTGACACTGGCGGATCGGACGGGACGGACGCCTGAAAAATCCAAGATGAAGGGAAGATCGTGTTAGTTCGTAGCTACTACCTCTGTCACGTTCGTGTATGACGTGGACAAAAGCGTAGGCCACGTACATATTATTGTCAACCGCGTGAAGTGTGAACCGCATCTTCAACTAGCCGTGTGTCTTCCTCTTCCCTCCTGATCTGATTGCTTAACGCGATTCGCTTTTCCCCTTCAGCTTGCAAGTTGGAAGAATGGAAACCATTGACTTCACAGAGAATATATATATTCCACGTACTGGTGTTAATCACTCGACATATCCCTGGTTGCTTCTGATAATCCGGTCTTCCTCAAATCTCCGTCTCCCGTCCACAGACACATCCCAGCGGCCGCTGCGGCCCACGAGCAGTCGAGAGCAATGCCGCTCATCAAGACCCGTGCGTCCGGCGCCGGCGAGGAGGAGTTGTCCACGGAGGTGGTGGTGGTCCGGCACGGGGAGACCCCGTGGAACAAATCCAAAATCATCCAGGTTCCGTCCGTCGATCGCCGCCCCTCTCCTCCTGAGTCCTGAATTGCCTGATTCTTCGTCGATGTCGTCGCTACGTGCACGTGCTCTAGCTAGTTCTTTATCGTCTCGCAAGTCCCAAACAAGACGTACGATCGAGAGGTGTTTTTTTTTTGAGTAAAATTCACCGCCGGCCCTTAAACTTGGCGGGCGGTGTCATCCTGGTGCAGGAAGTTTCAAAACGTTATTTTCACGTGCACCAACTTGTCCCGGGCTCTTCCTTCAACGCGAGATTACTGCATCTATTCATGCGTGTGTGATTTAATTCTTTTGAATGACCGGATGACCCCATCGTGTCATGTTTGGCTGATGGTTTCTACGCCAGTCGACTGATGCTTATTATTTGTTGTGAGAGAAAACACTAATTAAGTTCAAATGATCAGGGCTTCCTAATGTTTTCATGTCTGACAAACACGCAATTTCAAGCTTATTAGCTTCTCTGATCTGCCTAGTAAGTAGCTACTAGAAAACAATGGTACAGTATCTCTGTACTTAAACCTCTAGCCTGCACCCGTTGCCGTTAGATGTAGGAGAGATGATCAACCATCATCTACAATCTACTGCTATTGCCATTATTCTTTCATTTCAGTAACTGCAGGCCATGTTTCCTAGAAACCGGGAATTCTTACACAACTCACCTTCACTAATGACCAGGGACAACTGGATCCGGAGCTAAATGAGGCTGGCAGGCTGCAAGCCATCGTGGTAATGTCTTGTTTTCTCAAACCGCTATGCAGAACGTGATGAATATTATCCCACTATTCTAGCACTGGCATTATATTTCTGGCCAAAATCTTGTAACTAAGGTGGCCAGCCGTCTGTCGAGCGAAGCCAGGCCTGCCGCCGTATACTCTTCTGACTTGAGGCGAGCCTCTGAGACTGCTGAAATCATAGCGGGAGCTTGCGGTGTATCAAATGTAAGTGCTCTTTTTTGTTGTTGTTTCTTCCAAGAAAGAATAGAGTGCATACGGTACATACATTTGTATTCCCCCGCCCCCTCCCTTTTGTTTTGATTTTCATTAAGTAAAAAAGGAGTTCTGTCACGGTCAGTGTCAAGTTATGGTAATCCTAAGATTTACCAAAACACACACCCTTCACTTTCACCAAACTCGCACATGGTCGTTATAAGTACACAATAAACACAATTAACTGTATGTACCGTGTCAACAACAATTTTGCACGTTTGTCTCACAGGTGGTGTTGAATGAGGCGCTTAGAGAAAGGCACATGGGATATCTCCAAGGTCTCACGTGGGACGATGCCAAGGCCCTGGCTAAGAGTTCAGATTCTTTCAGAGGCTTTGATATCTACAAGATGACCGAGGGTTCTGATCCTGACAGCAGAAATCAAGAAATGCCCGTAAGTATATGCAGCTTTGTCTGTCCAAATTGAAATGGTAACTATCGAGTTGTACAACTATTGTGCGATTTGTTGCTAAACCATATCTGTAGACTGTAGTTATGTACTTCTTCATCTGAAGGTCTTATCAAAACTTACGCTGATGTTCAGGGTGGTGGAGAGAGCATGAATCAGCTGAACGAACGTTGTGTCTCCTACTTGAATAAGATTGCTCAACAACACATTGGTAACCAACAAATGTCCTCGTCTCCTCGTTTGGCTTCAAATAGGCTTAACAATCACAAGAATCTATGTTACATTTCACTGCCTTGGCCCTCTGAATATCTGCTAACTAAACTAAAGCTTCAAATAGGCTTACCAACAGAATACATGCTCACTCACTACAAGTTCTGAACTCCCAAATGTTTTGGAATCTCTGCTAATGATGCTATTATATACTACATTAACAGGGGAGCGAGTGGTGGTGGTCTCCCACGGCGCGGCCATACTTGGGCTCTGCCGGCACGCTAATCCACTCAACAACTTCACGAGCAAGGACATCCCCAACACTTCGCTGAACGTTTTCCGTATCTCCGGCGTCACCGGGCAGTGGACTCTTGAGAGGTGGGGAGACATGAGCCATCTTGGAGGAAATCAATTTTAGTTCCGCTGCTCATGCAGTCGTCATACGTACGGTTTCAGAACGAATAATTGTGTGGATTGAATCGTCTTCGAAAAGTTATTCTGTGATATTGTAACTTTATTTGTTGCATTGTTTAAAGAAGAACCAGTCGTACGTAATTGGATTTTGAAATTGCATTGAGCTACGTTTGGTACCGATCCGTAAAAACTTTTCAAACCAGAGTAATTAAAGATGTTATTAAAAAAAAAGTTGGCTCCTGCTGAGGGAGAGAGAGCGTTGCATTGTGGAGGCGACTACTTCCCCCATCGTCCGTCGCCCGTCGCCACCGCCAAACCAACCGCCCATGCCGCCAATCCACCATTCATGCTAATCAACACGTACCATAATCGACCGATCAGACGATCTCGATAAGATGTGCGGTGCCGTCGAGGACAAGTCAGTGTCTCCTCTCTCTCTCTCTCTCTCTCTCTCAGCTACGCGTGCGTTGTGGTCAAGTTGCATTATATTGGCGACTGATTGATGCTCTACGGCCGGTCACTGGCGGAGCAGGAGTGCTCTCTCTGGCCTCGAAACGTTCATCGGGCATCGCAACACCAAACGTTTGCAGGCCTAAAGATGGAAACATATCGGTAGCTAGCTCTGTGCACGTTCGTGTGAATTGTGCCCGTACGTGTTAGCAAAGTACTCCTTCAACTTTGCAAGAATGCAAGGCATTATTGGCTAGGGTTGGGGTTTGGTGGTCAACTAGACAAAGCACTGTCACAAGCAAGCGCTATCACAAGAGACACAGAGGATGTGCTCGATCAGCATGGTGGAGTGGGTGTCCTTAACCTTAAACCCGGTCCTCTGATCTGTTGGACCATCATATCCAGAGTTCTTCGTCTCTTTAGGAACGTATAAGTTTTTTTCTCTTTGTTGTATCCTGCGATGTTTTATCAAAATAAACCGATTCATGGATGTTAGCTTATGTTCCGTGAAATTCTTATGCTCCAAAGTCATCATAATCTCCTTCTTCTCTGGTGGAGTAGACACCAGGATTTTGAGAGTTAAGCCTAAGTGCTGCTGTATAATCATATCTAGATATCTCTATCTAGCTACTTACTATTCCTAGTAATTGTGAACACATGGTTGAGACATGTCTATGTGTGTGTGATGAATGATTGACACATGTGTGAAAGGTTTGAGGTTTTTTCGGTTGAGTCATATTTTATATATGTGCTTGATTATGCTAATGGCTAACCGGAGGTGTTGCGTGAGTTGTGTTGTATCGTGTGTGTTGTGCAACATGTCTCTTGGCTTGTGGTGCGCAGGTGTGGAGCTCGGAGACGGTGATCAACGGCAAGGTGAAGGTCAAGTAGAGACGTGTCATGCCAACAGACCGGGAGTGGTGAAGGGCAGACGCAAGGCTTGGACCGAGGGACCAGGAGGCCGGGTGACTAGCCGCAGTGGCTGACACTTGGGGACATCGACAAGCGCAAGTGTACATGGGTGATGAAGACGGCGTCAGCCAAGTCAAGGTGGAGGCGATGGCGTTGTGGCACTTGGCGGAGGCCGGACACACATCTACATGGGAGGTGTAGATGGCGTTGGTCGAGTCAAGAAGGAAGGCGATGGCATCAAGCTTGGCGGAGGTCGGACAAGCATCGACATCGGAGGGTTTGGTGGTTTCGTCCTCAAAACCATCGGAGGGGATTGGTGGTTTCGTCCTCAAAACCATCGGGCGTGTTTGGTGGTTTGGGCCTCAAAACCATCGGAGGCGGGTTTACGGGTTTGGGCCTTAAAACCCGGGCGGAGGTTCCGATGCGGAACGGACGGCACGTGGCGGCATCAGGGAGTTCGCGTCGAGGCGAAGCAACGGTGAGAAGGCGCGGTGGTCGTCGGATGAAGAAAGAAAAAGTTGGACGGATTTACATCTAGAGGGTATTTGGGTTGTGTGCTTCATGTAAGGGCGTTTTTATCTTTTGACGGGCGCCTATATATATGTGAAGGGGCTGGTTGGGCAGCTATCCTTGGAGGGTCACTCTCATTTGTGTGGTTTGAGTGGTGGCTAGGGTTAGAAAGTGGAGTGGCTCTTGTTCTTGAGCTTTTTGTCATCCTACCTTTGATTTGGCTAGGAGTGGCTTGTAACCTGACCTCATGAAGTAATCCAAGGATCAATTTCGTGCTCCACTTATTCTCCTTTCTAAATCTGAAGTTTTTCCTTTTCCATGATTTTCGGAGCTATTTTAGGGGATTTTTCGTTATTGCTTCGTTTCATCGTTTTGAGGTCGTTTTGATTCGTTCTTGTTGCCTTGGATCGATCTATGACATGAGTTGAAGCTTTTCACCGAAGGAAATCTACTAATTCCTCACGGATCGTAGATCCGAGCAATTTTAGTTCTTGACCTAGTTTTTGGGATTTTTCCTTTTTCTTCGATTCACGGAGTTAGAGTTTGTCTCAGGCCATGATCCTTTAGAGATAGCCCTTCTACTCCCTTGTGAACCCTTGTGCAAAGTTTCAAGTCATTTGGAGTTGATTTGATCGAGTTATGGCTTGAATTTGATTTTTTCCGAGAAACAACTCGTTCATACCGGACGCGTCTGGTATGACCTAGGACATGTTCGATATTTCAAACTTTGGAGTTTTGAGCTGAAATTTGATGGAGACCTTCCCTTTAGTGTCTTAGAGCTATGGTTAAAATTTCATGATTTTTGGACACCATTTGATGGGGTTTTGGATTTTTCTCTCTCTGTCAGTGTAGTGCTAAAAAATACCAGATGCATATCGGACATGTCCGATATCATACCGGACATGTCCGATATTTACAGTTGCAAGGCTGAGTTTTCTTCAATTTGCTCGTTTGGGCTCGATTTGTGTTCCGTCTGTTGCGTTGGGTTTCTATCATTCCCTAGACTTTATCTAGGTGTTCTTACCACCAGTTGATTTGGGTGTCCGAGATTTGAGACCTTGCTTCTTCTCAATAGAAGTGGAGAGTCCCGGTTTCTTGTCTAGTCTTTCGACACTTGCTCGTTTCTCATTCCGCTTGCTTTGTGGTGACTCGCTGTGTTCCGAGAGAACATCCACCCTTCCTTAGGGTCGTGATCATCACGTCGATCGTGTTTTCTTCTTGGGGTTTGATATTGGGACAGTGGTCGAAGATTTTGAAAGAAATTTGAGGCTCCCATTCACCCCCCCCTCTGGTCGCCGTTTTCGGTCGTTCAATTGGTATCAGAGTCGGGCTAAGGATCACCCACCTTAACCGGCTTCGTGATCCATGAAGGCGACTTGTTTGAGGGAGAATTTACTTCCGACTTTCTTTGTCGAGTTTCGAGCCTTCTTTTGCTAACACTGACGGTGCTTTGAGAAATGGCACCAAGCTTTTCTTCTTGTGTGTCTTTGTCCTCATGTTTGGATGATGGACTTGCAATCGAGGATGACCTCATGAGGAGAAGGCGGAGTGAGGCGCTTGAAAAGGAACATGAGGTGGATGCTTTGTTGGACCTTCTAGACGATGATGAACTTTCGGTGGAGGATCTTCTACGCAAGCTTGGCAAGGCCAAGAAAGGTACACTTGTTGGTAGTGTTGTGTGTTTATCCCACCGATTTTATGCATGTGTTGAGCATAGTGCTAGAAATGATGAGCTTTGTGTCACTTTGTGTAGAAAGATCGAGAAGTTGAAATGCAACATTGCTAGGTTGAAATGTGGTCTTTCTCACTGGAAATCTTGTGCTTTAATTCCATGCACTTCTTGTGATGACATGCATAGAAAGAATAATGATTTGAGCTTTTCTCTTGCTTGCTTAAAATCTGAAAATGAGATGTTGAAATTCAATGCTTCTATGCCATGTCTTTCATGTGTTGACTTGCATAAGGATCTTGATAAGGCTAGTGCTGAAATTGCTTTGTTTAAGTCAAATGTTTCTTTACCATGTGTTTCTTGTGAGTCTTTACTTGCTGAAATTAATGAACTAAAATTGACTCACACCACATGTGTAGATGAACTTGAGCATACTAAGGCTAAAATTGATGAGATAAGTTCTAGGCCTTGTAGCTTCTGCTCTTTTAATGTGATTGATGATGCTTGCCTTACTTCATATGTTAATCATGATGCTATGCTTGATGTGAATGATGATGTTTCTTCGACTGGTCTAATTTGCACATCTTGCATTGATTTGAAAAATGAAGTTTTGGCTTTGAAAAAATTATGCAATGATATGAGCGCCAAGTTAGTTGAGCACAATGAGATGAGTGCCAACCTTGAGAAAGAGATTGATCTCTTGTGTACCACATATGCCGAGTGCATTAGGAAGGAGATGGAAAACTTGAAAAATGCTCCTTGTGGTACTTGTGATCGCCTCAAGTTTGAAAATGAGGTTTTGGCTAATAGATGCAAGAGTCTTTGTGCTAAGTCTTTAGATTCTCGCGATTCTTATAACTCCGATGTTGTTGTTTCTGAGATTGCTTCTTTGCAACCGGAGTTGAGTTCTTGTGTTGCGCGTGAGTCTTTGGATGATAGCACTTGTGCTAAGGCTTTGGATAGCTCGTCCATAGCTAGTCCTAAGCTTGTTGCTTCTTCGGGTGATGTCCAAGGGATTTCTCATGGCAAGGGTGCTTCTCACATTTTTGAAACTCCATGTTCCCAAACCAATCTTCCATTGCACCTTTTGCAAGAAAGATGGACATACATTCGATTTCTGCTTCTGCCGTGTCAAACACGAGCGACGTGTTCGAGCTAAGGCTTTTAGGAAGCCACATAGCCTTTCCCATGGCACGTGTGCTCCTAGTGTTGGTGCTAAGTTAAGTGTTGATGCTTCTTGTTCTAAGTCCCAAGGGACTTCTCACTTGATGGAGAATGGTGTGCCTTCCAATAGGCCTTTGTACCATTGCTCTTTTTTGAGAAAGATAGGCATCAAGAGAGCTATTGCTATCGGCGTGCCAAACGCATGTGGCGAGCTTGTTCTTCTAAGACTTTGGTTGTTCATAGCCCTTCTCATGGCATGAACACTTGTGTTCCTAGTAAGAAGCCTCTTTTCGTCGATG